ATGAGACAGTCTGCTTCTGTAAAAATTTACGCCTTGGAAACTCAATGGGATTTGCTATGAGTCAGAATCAACTTGATGGCAGTGAGTTTGAGTTCTTTTGAAACTGCAAGGATAGATGCAAAGCTCATTGTTCTTACTGAGATTCAGTTGTTTTTCTTGACTAAATGCTCTCCAGGTTGCTTCAAGTCTTTGTTTAATTTCTAGAAGACAGAATTGATTAGGATAATTTTGTCATGTATTTTTTGTTCATTGCTATTTTGGAGGTGTGAACTTTTGGAGGTTCTTAATTGGCCATTTTCTGTGCTGTTAGTACCATCAGTTTTTTAATGGAGGGTCAGAGACTGAGACTCTGCGATGCTCATGATATGAAGAGGGGGTATCATATAAGCTCTCTCACAGTGATGCTGGATCATTTCTGTTCACTTCAATAACAGATATCTGTAGCTTTGTTGTAGTTGATATTAGAAAAAGTGTAATGATTGATAGATGTAATACAATGAAATGAGCAGCTAAATCATTTTCATTCTTAAGTTTCAGGGATTTATTTATAAATTTACCTTTGAATTTATAAGTAAATTATTTGTATTTACTTTATATAGTAAATGTTATAAAAATTTATTATTTTTTTGTAGTTTCAAGGAAAAGAAATTGGGAGAAACTCTGATGTTTGGTGAACTCTTGGAGGTCAATGCCTTGGATAATATTTCAAAAGGTTGTTCCTATCATATATGATATTAAAACAATGCCTGTTTTGTTCTTGTGGTTTATTTTTTCAGGGCACCTTTGATGATTATTTGGAACTATTCCTGCAATTTGGTTATGTGAGCCTTTTCTCCTGTGTTTATCCATTAGCAGCTGCCTTTGCTGTGTTAAATAACTTCACTGAAGTCAACTCAGATGCCTTAAAAATGTGCAGGGTCTTCAAACGTCCATTCTCAGAACCTTCTGCCAATATTGGTGTATGGCAGGTAATTATGTGAGAAGAAAATTATTCTCTTTTTTAAAATAATTAATAATAATAACAATAAAATGTGGCAGTATGATTTAATTACCAGGGGTGGGGTGAGGCTTGAAGAGAGATTTGGGAAAATTGGTTCCTTCCTCTGTCATGAACCAGCTGTGTGACCTCAGCTAATTTTCTCTGTTGTTGTTGTTGCTGTTATGTGCCGTCGAGTCGGCCCCAACTCATAGCGACCCCTCCTTGGGTTTCCGAGGCAGTATCACTATGGAAGTAGGATTGCCCAACCTTCCTTCCGAGGAGTGG